CTTGGCTCCACTTGATGCCAGCTATGGCAATCGTGGCTCGAAAGAATCGCATATGATTCTGTATGAGTGTCTTCTCCAGTGAGAAGTGTCTCGTTGGTTTTTGGGCAAACGGATGAGTTCAGTACCCTTTCCTGTGAAAGGCATGTTTCTCAAAAAGAAATGGCAGGCAGTGAGAAGGAGACTTTTTCCTTTGAGAAGCATTCCGTGAACTTAATCGGCCACCTCAACATCATCATGCCAGTTACTGTCACCATCCCAGCGACGATCCCGACTCCCATCGCCATCCCAACGGTGGTTGTGGTTGTCGTCCCGTCGAAGACAACAGGTTGAAGACGAGCGAAAGGATTGGGCCGAACAGGAGGAGCGCGAGGCGCTGGTCCGTAGACCGGTCTTTCCGACTCGGAGTCAGAATCTAGTCAGTTCTTTTCTTTGCCCTTGCCTTTGTCTTTGTGCATGGAGGACTTGCCTCCTTTGCCACCTTTGTCAGGATGTTGCTTTCCCACCAGGCCAGGAGGTTGTGCGGGTTCGACTGGACGTTGTGAGCCAGAGGCTGAAGCGCCAGAAACATCCAGAAACTCTCTCTCGCTATGGAGAGCCTGCTCCCGAAGGCTGGCTGGGCTGGATCAGCAGATCCGCGACTCAGCTTACGTCTGTCGGCTGCCTCCTTGACCGTGTCGGGATTACGGCTCATTGCTCTCATCCTCCCACCAATGTACTGGTTAGCGTGAACCTCGATGAGAAGAGGAGTATGAGCGTCATAATCCCGGTCGTTAAGAAGGTAAGCCGCCGAAGTGGATATCAGAAGCCATTCGGAGACGCTGACCTTGTATTCCATCCGATTAGCAGGCACTTGAGCCCATTGATATCATCCATTGAATGTCCCCACTCCATGACGGTGGCGACGATTGGATCAAAAGAAAGGAAATGTAGTCTAATCGGGCTGCGTGCAATCCTTGTAAGGACGGCGGCCAAATTGGTCTTCGGACTGCTTGAGAAAACAGAGGCTGTTTGCCGAAACATGCTGCGCCCGAGGGTGGCTCATTTGGCCTACACTTTGGGTTCCCGGGCTCTCCGTCCCGGCCTCCAGGAAATAATCGAGGGTGCTTTGAGACATGCCCCCGCTGGTGTCGATGGATTCTTGATTACGATAAAGCGCCATAATTTGCGTCACCACCGATCAAATCCACCTGATGATGCAAGAAATCAAGAAACATGGGCCTCATGACTCAGACCAACTTTGCTGGTCGCTGCTTTGTTGTCCAAATAGAAAACAAAAACGAAGCTCTCATCAGAGGATGCGTGTGAGGGCCGAATCAGGGAATTCTCCTCGATTGCCTTGTCCACCAGTGGGAAGAGTTTTCCCAAAGGTGCTATCCACTATCATGTATGGACGTAGAAGATGACTATCGGCTACCCCGACCAGTGTAGAGCCTGCCAGCTGCGTTATCTTGGACACAACAAGATTGGGTCCGGCAACCAACGAGAAGATCTCCTGCAGGGTTGCGCAAAGTTTCCCAGCCACGACCATAAAGGAGCTGTAACTCGGAATCAGAGACTGACCCAGCTTCGCGCAGCATGAAAGGATGTGCCTTTGCTGCTCTCTCTCCACTGTCGTGATAGTCGATGTGATCGGCGAATGCAGAGGGAGCAGAGCGCTTGCGACCGCGAGTGAAGTTGCCCCGGTTCAGGATGAGTGCAGAGATGAAGAGTAGGACTCGGCCTCTTTTCCAGTGATAAGTCCCCGATTTCCTCCTCGTCACCTTCTCCATTTGACGGTCATCGAGAGTGCTCCGAATATCTCCTGGCCTGAAGACGACACGCCGGGTATAGATCGGGTCCATGTCGCAACACATCGACCGCAGCAAGTCAGAAAGTCGTCCTCGGAAAGGTGAAACTTGTGCTTGGGGTGCTGCGGTGCCTTTGCTCTCGATCTCATGTGCTGCACCGTGACCGCACCGACGTGGTCGACTCTGATGCCGTAGCGGTAGAGTCTTGTAGCCATTCTTTCGGTCGGCCAACAGCATAGGCATGGTCCACTCCTGTTTACGATGGCTTTTCCAGAATTATTTGAACTCTTCGGTGCCTTCGAGCCCGAGCTTATCATTGGCATCTTCAAAGTTGGCGAAGGCTTTCTCAGTCTTCTCCTCCGCGCTAAAACCCCGCTGGAAGCTGGTCGCTTTGCACGCCACATTTTTCTGTTTCCTCCAGATGCCTTGATCGTGAAGAACTTTACCATCATCAGAGGCATCTTCGGTGGAGGTCATCTCCGGCATAGATTCCTCACCCGGTGCATGGTGAGCTTTCCTTTGCCATGTCGTCGTCCTTGCTTAACCTCTCCAGCGTCACCCATGTGCACGTCACCCGTTACCTCTCCCTGAAGAGAGCCTTCGGTCTTTTCGACCTTTGCTCCCGATGCCTCTCCCGGTGGTGATGCATCAGTCTCCATTGGCACATTGGTGGCGTCCTTTGTTGATGAATCAGCCATCTCACCCTGAGGTACGTCCGAGCATCGTTGGCGCTGCCGGATGTTGCATTGGCTCGTGCATCTCTTCGACCTGAGAACCAGGGAGCTTCTCGAGGAATTCCTCCACAGCAATGTCCTCGTGGGAACGGCAGTCCAACTCCTCTAACTCCTCTAGCTCTCTGGCTCGTTTGGCCTTGAGGCTCTCATAGGCTATGAGGTCCGCGTCCGACTTCGCCTTCCGTGCAAAGGCGGACGAGATGTCTTCATCCTCTGTCTGCTTGAGGGCCTTCTCGACGCAGGACACAGGCAGGGACCGTCGAAGGGCTTTCCAACAGCCATTTCCTTGAGCAAAGCATTGGCAGCATTGTATACCGGGTATACCGCGAGCTTGGCCGCATAGTCAGTATCATCGACCTTCGGCTCTTTGTCTCTTTGTCCCGGAGATCCTCTGGAGGAATCCGATCTCTGGGCGAGACATAGCCTTGCGAGTAGACATGAGGCTTGTGAGAGAATTCAACAAGGTAATTGCCCTGGAGCTTGCCGAGTTCAAAAACCTTCAACAAGAAGTGGATGCCGTACCCCGACATGGGGTGTTGCAACCACGTGGCCCAGATGTAGTTCCCCCCAAGAAGCTTCCGTGTCTTTGCCGGCAAGCTGTCCCACGGCGTTGTTTTGAGAGCGTCGCCATAGGTAGAGTACATTTTGTTGCCCGCCTGATCGACTCGGTGCAGGAGACCATGGCCGAAGAGATGCCATGGGTTCGTCCTGGCTTTTCGGAGAACTTGCCTGAGCTCTTCTTCCTGCTGGGCCCTGCGCGCATCCATCTTCCCATGAACTGTGTCTCCTGCCTCGTAGGCATATCTGGTGGTGCCTTCAGACTGAGTGCCCTGTTTGTTCCTTCGCCTCGTTAACAGCCCATTCTCGCGAATGATCTTGCGAAGGGCCTCTGGTACCTCTCCCTCAAAAGAGTTTCCCTTGGTGGGCGATGCATCGGCGGCTGTAGCCACCTTGGGCCTCTTCTTAAGCGCAGGCTTTGACTTGGCTTCAGAGCTGCTACCTTGTCACCTTTTGTTGAGGAGAGCCTCCCGGCGCAGAAGCAGAAGCAGAGGCTGAGGTTCCATCTTCGTGCGAAGAGCCTTCTTCTCATAGCGCAAGCCGCCAGGGTCCTGCTCGTGAGGCGGACGGTAGTGGAACGACAAGAACATGGCCGCCGTTGTCGGTCACGTGCAGCTCGTGACCGTGGGCAAAGAAGGACTCGACGCCCAACTTGGCGTAGAACACGTAGCTGCCATACTTGATGACCGTCCCTGGTCCTGGCGATTTGCTGCCTCCGGCATACACGAAGTGTACGGTGCTTCTGCCACGACTGCCTTGTGGCTGACAAAACCAAGCCGTAGTTCCGAATAGGCTCATAGTTTGAGTTATCGGAGGCATGGAAAAAATAGCCGAGCTGTCTGCGCCTCTCCAGGGGTGAGTTTCTGCCCCAGGGCGGCTTCGGAGACTTGTTCGGGAAGGCGACTGTGCCCCTGAGCCCCGATTGGCACTGATTCCAACGTCGAAATCCCACGACAGAAACCTGTCGAAGACGAGAGCCTTGGGGGATAACCAGACCTGAAATCTGTCCTTGGAGTTGGCCATGACGAAGAACTTTCACGCATTCCAATCGAACTGGCAGATAGACGTCTGTTGCAACTCCTCCAGCCGAAGTTTCCATGTAGGTTGTACCTCAGAACTCCGGAGAGTTGTTTAGAGGAACGAACCGCCCAGCTTCCATGCTCGTGGCGCAACCTTGAAACCTCGGTGATGTCCCGAGACAGCTCGTCCAGCTCGGTGGCACTGAGACTCTGAGACATCCAAGACAGCAACAAAAGGAGCTCATACTTCCAGACCAGTCGCGGCTGAAGAATCTGAGTTCCTGGGTGGCTGTCTTCGTAGGCCTTGACGTGTGACAGAAACGCCAGTTGGCCAACCAGGATGTTTGTTGCAGCTGTCTCTCCATGTGGAAAGTATGCTGCAACGTCCTGTTGTCCGGGATGTCGCGGATGGCTTGAGCTTAATGGATGCTGCTGGAGTACCACTTGGCCATATGCGATCTCCCACCTGGGAATAGATCACAATGCCGTCATCTCCAACTATTGGCAGTGCGCGGCGAGGCAACCAGGAACGACTCTTCAGGTAATTGCTGTACTCCGGAACACCAGTAGCCAGGTCCACACGAATGTGCAAGACCATGTTAGGAGCCCAGAATACTTGGATACCGCCACGCGATCCCTCTCCCTGAGGAGAGCTTTCGGTGGATGAGGAGTCGTATCCTGCCCAGCCATAGCCGGTAACAGAAGTGGAAGCGTGGGCTACTTTCGCACTAAAGGTTTGAACCAGCTGATTTGAGCAATCCAGGCACAAATTTTAAAAAAGAGACCAACAACTCTTCAAGCGAGAATGCACATGCATTGAATTGCACCGACAGCTCACACTTGCAACCGCTCCTGCATGAACGTGACATGTTGCACTGAAGCAAGAACCGCGTACTCCTTTCGGAGCCAGGCGTTTAAGAAGGCTTTGTGCTCAGTCATGGAACGAAGCGGAGGGTGTGAGTCGATTTCCTTCAACCACCCGGAGTTCAGGACGTTTCTGGGATTAGCACTTCGTTTTGTGAGACAGTCAGATAAACAATGCTCAGTACGCACATGAGAAAGGTCGGCAATAGCTCCTGAGCAAGCCTCCTTCCTCAACATCTGAATCATGTGAATTGTTTCCTGTTGTTCCGGAGAGTGAGTGGTGGAAGCAGTGGAAACGAGATGGTGCACGTCAGTCCTAATATGAATCTCTGCCTCCAGTACGCTAATCCCTCGGAGCATTTGACAGGCACCAAAACACTTCATCAGGGCGTACAACTCAGCGACAGTAGTAGTGCTACGGGTCGTTCGCTTGATTTTCGTGGATTCGAAGAAGACCAAAGAGCCTCGGGTGTCTCTCCTTTCATCAGCAATAAAGATTGTCATCGTCGCTGTTGTTCCTAAAGGCTGCGTCAGGTATCTCGACAATCCTTGGAGATTCCTTCACAAGCCACACCCGCAACTCAAGCTCTTCACTGCGAATCTGTCGACACAACTTGTTCAACTCTTTACAGTGACCGATGGTTGGAGAAGCAGATGCTGAGGCCAAACGGGAGAACTGGTAGCAAGCCTGAAATTGAGTCCGCGACTGCAACCAGTTGATGCTACCGAGCAAGGATCGATAGGAAGTGTGAAGAGATTTGTCACAAACATCACCATCTTTGAGATGCTTCGGAATGACAACATCTTCAAGTTCGGAAACAAACAGCTTCTGATCAATCGGTGTGTATATATATATATTTCTTGTTGCCCTGCACATCACTGACCCAACGAACAGGCTGTGAACGTCAGATCGCTCCTGTCCTCGTGGCCAACAGTGAAGTGTTCTCTTCTCTTCTTCAAGAACCAAGTGAGGAACTGGGGAGCTCCACTGATGATTAAATCATCGACATGGAGACTCAGAACTCCAACTGTTTTCCGGCCTTTGCTTGGGCTTTCATGCAAAGGATCAACAAACTGTTCGAGCAACTGGTCGACAAGCTCGGGTGAGAGCTCTGATAAGCTGTCAACATTGTACGAAGCCTTCTCAGGCAGGAGCAGGGAAACCTGTACCTCTGCTTCCTCTTCAAGATAGCAGCGGATAGAGCCGTAGCCCACAGGAGATTAGAGGCACCATCAATGATGACTAAGGCAAGGTATGCCTTTTTGGACAAACTTGATTTCCTCGTGATCAACAAAGAATCACTAAGAACATGACCCTGCTCCACGATGTCGAACTCAGTGGACTGGACTG